GGGGGGGGGGTTCCTAAGTGTCACTGTGGGAGGTTCGCAGCGGTGGCCAAGGGAAGCCGGGCCCGGTGCCTTCCAGGCTGTCCTAACTCTCAGGCTTGAGAAAGCAGGGCCCGCTCTCCAGAGCCTTCCTGAGGTGTCCGGGCCCCTTTGCCGCCCTGCGCTCTCTCCCGCACAGAGCCGGAGGGGCTGGCGGGACCCAGCCATCCCCAGCCGAGCGCGTTGCTGCAGGACAGCTTGGAGAATGACTCCGGGGAGGCGGCGGAGGGTGACCGGGAGCGGGAGCCGGAGGCGCTGGGCGGCACCAACTCTGAGCCTGGCACGCCGCGGGCCGGCCGGTCGGGGATCCGCGCTGGGAGCAGCAGCCGAGCAGAGCGCTGTGCTGGAGTCCACATCTCGGACCCCTACAACGTCAACCTCCCACTGCACATCACCTCCATCCTCAACGTGCCCCCAAACATCATCTCCAACGTCTCCTTGGCCAGGCTCACCCGAGGCCTTGAGTGCCCCGCCCTACAGCCCCGGCCAAGCCCTGCCTCCGGCCCGGGTCCTGGCCCCGGCCCCGGCCCCGGCCCCCCAGGTGAGGCCCCGGGGATCTCCCAGGCCTGGGAGAAGGGACTAGAATTCCAGGCTGAAGCTCTGATGCAAGGTATCTGTCCTGAAAATGGCAGACGCCTCAGTCCTCAGGCTCGGGGTGGTCACCTTCGGCTGCCTCCCTGACTTCCGGGTTGGGGGGGGTGGGGAATCCAGTAATATTATCAGGTTCTGTGAGATCCACAGAGAGAGGACCCCCGGCAGTCTTCAGATCACTGATGTACGCGAGACTGGGAGTCCGGGTCAGACTCAGACAGTAGGGATCACGGAGTACAAGGCGGGGCTATATAATAGATGCTGGTGACAATATAGGATTAACACTAATCGTTAACATGTATTGAAGGTTTACTGCTTGCCATGTGCTGTGTTAAGGACTTTGCAGGCATTCGCTTGTTTTCTTCTTTTGCGATCTTATGACGCCATCACTGTTGCTGTGCTTCTGTCACAGCGGTGGGACTGGAGACCTAGGTTAAGCTATTTGCCGTTGAGTTAGTTCAGAGGTTCTGAAGTGTCACTGATGAGAAGTATTGAGGCAGCACAGGGCAGCGGGGAAGGACTCGGGCTACAGAGTTAAGTAGACTTGGGTTCAAAATTGGGCCGTGCCACTCACTGTTTGCGTGACCTTGGACAGATCTCTCTGGGTCTCGCTTTCCTCATGTGTAAAATGGGGATAAATACCCTACATTATGGGGCTGTGTCGTGGGGGGACAAAATAAGACAGCGCACTGTAAAACGTACAGGATGGTGCCTGGCACCAGGCGGGAGCGATAAGCCAGTAGGTAGGGATGCTGGTCTGAAAGCATTGGCCACAGGCCAAATCTGTGCCGGGGGCGTTGGTCCCGATACGGTAGCAATGCTAGGAAGATCCATTTTGTAAAGGGTCGAGGCTGGTCTTGACCTGTGTGTTCCTGGGACTACCTTTCTCTCGACAGATGAGAAGTTGGAGGCAAGTTCGGCCGCAGGTCCCCCGGCTGACTGTGGCCCGGCGGACGTGGCCCCTGCCCTGGAGGACTGCCTGTCCCAGGAGGTGCAGGATTCCTTCTCCTTCCTAGAGGACTCAAGCAGCTCAGAGCCCGAGTGGGTGGGGGTGGAAGATGGGGAGGTGGCCAAGGCAGGAACTGCAGGAGCAGCCTTCTCCCCTGGGGAGGACGACCCTGGGATGGGCTACCTAGAGGAGCTCCTGAGAGTCGGGCCTCAGGTAAGAAGGAGCTGTGCTGGGTTTGGGGGTGCTGGGGAGGCCAGAGGGCGGACAGGGCCCCCTGGTCCTGAGCCACGGTGCTATGCCCGCAGGTGGAGGAGTTCTCTGTGGAGCCGCCCCTGGATGACCTGTCTCTGGATGAGGCACAGTTTGTCCTGGCTCCCAGCTGCTGTTCCCCGGACTCTGCAGGCCCCGGGCCTGAAGGAGAAGAGGAGAGTGGGGAGGATGTCTTCCTGAGTGCCTACGATGACCTAAGTCCCCTTCTGGGGCCCAAACACCCAAACTGGGAGGGCCCAGGGAGCCTGGAAGAAGAGGCAGCAGGATGCAGGGGACAGGGGGCTCCAGGGCAGGCTGAGGGAGAGCAGGCATGCCGGGAAGGTGGGGAGGACAGGGAGGCTGAGCCTGAAGGCAGATGGGACGTCCCAGAGGAGGCTGAGGGGAGTCCGGAGAGCGAGGTGGAGGATGGAGAAGCAGGTGAGGGAGGAGGGAAGGCTGGGGAAAGCCGGGAGATGATGGTCAGTGTGAAGGAAGGGGGTGGGGAAGAGCCAGAGGCCAAGGGAGAGGAGTCCCGTGGTCAGCAGGAGGAGGGCAGTATGGAGGAAGCTAAGTGTGCGGTGGGAACAGGAGGAGAACAGGGTAAAGACGAGGAGAAAGAAAGGAAGGGGAGAGGGGAAGAGGCTGAGGAAGCAGAGGAAGCCCAGGTACAAGCCAGAAGGGACCCGGAGTGCGGGGCCCAGGAAACCCAAGTTGCCGAGGGGAGCTGGGAAGCTGTACACAAACAAGAGGCTGACGGAGGCAGAGAGGACGAGGCCAAAGGACAGAAGGGGCCTGAGAACCAAGGGGCAAGAGAAGCCCAAGGAGGTGGTGAAGACGGCAGAAGCCCTGAAGCAGCAGCTGAAGGAGGAGCAGGGAAGGTCAGCAAGGAACAGGAGAGTGGGGACAGGGAGCGTGAGGGAGACCAGAGTGCTGGAGGTGACCGTGTAGAGAAGGACGCCCTTCCTGAAGGGTCACACGCAGAGCCCCTGGAGGTTGGCAGTGCCGAAGAGGGCAACCCCCAGTCCTCTGAGGCAGAACAGGCGGTCCCGCAGCCACCCCGGCCACAGGAGATGGAGCCCGAGGGGCCGCTCGGTCCAGAGGGCTGCAACCCGTGTCCCTGTCCTCTTGGCTCAGCTGGTGGTGTGGGCATGCGCCTGGCTTCCAGCCTGGTTCAGGTCCAACAGGTCCGCTCTGTGCCTGTGGTGCCCCCCAAACCACAATTTGCCAAGATGCCTAGTGCGATGTGTAGCAAGATCCACGTGGCACCTGCAAACCCATGCCCGAGGCCTGGCCGGCTTGATGGGACTCCTGGGGAAAGGGCTTGGGGGTCCCGAGCCTCTCGTTCCTCTTGGAGGAATGGGGGCAGTCTTTCTTTTGATGCTGCTGTGGCCCTGGCCCGGGACCGCCAGAGGACTGAGGCTCAGGGAGTTCGGCGGACCCAGACCTGTACGGGGGGTGGGGACTACAGCCTCATCCCCAGAACCTCCCCGTGTAGTGTGATCCCTGCCTATTCTCGGCCACTTAGCTGCCTGGAGCTCCCACCCGAAGACACAGAAGGGTCTGGACACCGGAGTCGGCTTAGTCTGCCCCCCAGGGAACCCCAGCCCCCCGACCCTCTTCTGTCCCCCCAGCGCCGATCATATGCGTTTGAAACACAGGCCAACCCTGGGAGAGGTGAGGGACTGTGAGTAGGACCACAGTGCTGGGCAAAGGGGACAGTAAGTTGTCTTGAATCTCCAGATTCCCAGACCGGCTGTTTCTCCTGCAGCCTGAGCAGCTGGAGTGTCCAACACCATAGGCTTTGACCCTCCAGCTTCTCTTTTCCACTATGGGAAGCATTGCCTCCGTTGGGTTTTACTTGAGCTTGTCTCGGACACAAAGCACTTATCCCTTAGGATATTCCCAAGAAAGTCACCGAGATCCTGTTACCAAGGAGCGGGGTCATTGGTCAAGGGGAACAAAGAGTAGGCAGAAAACTTAAGAGGCTTCTCAAAGTGAAGAATGAAGAGGAAACTCCAGCTAAGTTCCTGCCTCCTCTGGGGCTGTGTACTTCCCTTCATGGAAGCCCAGGGTGGAGGAGGGGAGGGTGGGGCCAGGTCAGAGGCTATCACACATCAACACTTCTGAGTTGCCCACCCTTATTCTGCTCTTGGACCCTTGGGTACCTCCTGACTCTCCTAGCTCCAGATTAGGAGAACCATGTCGAGGAAGCTCTCTGAAGTCCTCAAAGTGTGTTGGAGGGACTGGACTGGCTCCCTCTCCAGCATCCCCACCCTCTGCCTCCAGTCACCTTTAGGAAGAGAGATCTTCTGCAGATCTCCCTGGCTTCTCCTTTTTCCTTTGGAATAACTTCCTCCTATTTCAAGGAAGGGGAATAGCGTAACTCAGGCCCTGGGACTGCTTCTCCAGACAGGCTGGGGCCATATGTTCCATCCTAGTAAGAAGCAATCTCAGGGGGCGCCTGGGTGGCGCAGTCGGTTAAGCGTCCGACTTCAGCCAGGTCACGATCTTGCGGTCCGTGAGTTCGAGCCCC